AGAGAGAGAGAGAGAGAGAGAGAGAGAGAGAGAGAGAGAGAAGTGATTCATTTATTCAAGGAGTAAGTCTACTTAGACTTACTCTATTTAATAACTCATATTGTATATCAAATCTCAACGATTTAACCGTTGAATTTAAAGTTTTTAATATACAAATCAAATATGCAAGTTTTTTAAAATTTTAAAAACCATTTGATACTTCATTTCATTAATTAAAATTGATGGATATTCATAGAAACATGTTATCCTTCAATTTGAATTAATGAAATGAAGTATCAAATAATTTTTAAATTTTTTTAAAATTTACAAATTTGATCTGTGTATTAAGAAATCTAAATTCAACGGTTGGATCGTTGAGATTTGATATAGAACATGAGTTATTAAACAGAGTAAGTTTAGGTAGACTTACTCTTAGAGAACGGATCCCTATTCATATATATATATATATATATCAAGTTTTTAATGCATAAATAAACTTTACAATTTTTTTAAAAAATTGAAAATTATTTGATAATCCCTTTCATCAATTAAAATTAATGGATAATCATAAAAAACTTTATACATTGATTTTAATTAATGAAAACAGTATCAAATAGTTTTCAAACTTTTAAAAAATTTGCAGACTTGATTTATATATTTAGAACTTTTAATTCAACGGTTGAATCGTTAAAATTTAGTGTAAAATATGAATTATTGAATATAGTAAATTTAAGTAGTATCTAGATTCCTCCCTGTATATATTTATATTTATATAGTGTGAGAAAATTCGATAGAAATAGTATGAAAATTGGCATATTTAATACATTTAATGTAGTTATCTCAAACCAATCGATGTATTACTAAAGTTCAATATTTACAGTAAATTTATTATATACCAATCACAACTTATTAAATACCAATGTATAGGATTGTCTTTATTATATACCAATCACAACTTATTAAATACCAATGTATAGGATTGTCTGGATCTAATTGTAACTTAATTTATATTTTTAATCAAAATTAAAGTAAATAATAAAAATACATTAATAAATTGTTTTTTTAATTACACAGAAAAGAATTCCAAAACATTTAAAAACATTTTTTGAACCAGCATTTAAAAACATTGCAATTGCAAAGAGAAAATATTTATGATTTTATTATTTATACATTTATTTAAAATTTCCAATGAATAAATGGTATATATTTTAGATTTATTTTGCCCCTCATAACTTTTTTTTACTCATAAAATAAATAATTAATAACAATGTTTCTTAAAGATAATTAAATACTATACATATATATGTGAAAAAATCCTTTACATCAGTGAAATAATTAATAACAATGTTTCTTAAAGATAAATATCTTGTTTTTAGTTTTCATTTAATACTCTGATAAATTTAACACTGCTTATGTATGAATAAGTAAAATTATTTTTTATGATCTACATTCAAAGTTTAAATGCATATAATTCATCTACTAAATAATCAAACCATGACGTGTTACTCAAGTGACGACCATCCAAATGGCACGGGGATATTTCACGAGAGGAAAAAACAGAAACATTTTCTTTCTTTCTGATCGTACGTCAATACAACATTTTAATAGAAATATAAAACCATTCCACAATAACAATTTTCCGAAGTATTAAAAAACCCATTAATAATCTGGACATATAGCTAATTATTGTTCCAACTACAGTTAATTTAAGTTTGATAGTGCATAAAACTTCCATTTCGAAAAATACAAAAGAGGAAAACAGAACATACATTCTCATATTTTTTTATAATGTAAAAAAAAAAAGTATATTGGGCAACCACTCTTTCATTGTTAAATTGGCATTTCTCCAACGCTAAGGAACCTAGCTACGTGATATATACTATATATTATATGGCTTTGTCATTAAGAAATGTAATAACTCAACGTGAAGGGCCTCTCAAATATTCGCAAAATCCATTGTATTAAGTGTGTTTCTATATATATATATATATATTTGTTTATTTTATTTTCCCAAAGATCCAGTTTATTTTAGTATTGTTATAGCATATGGGATGAAAACGAAGCAAAAAGAAAAAAAGACCCAAATGAAATAAAATAAAAGATTAAGGAATTATTTATAAAGAACATGTCCCATGTGGCAAGGAAATGTCAAAAGAAGAATATCTAAAAGGGGTTTGATAAAATCCAATTCAACACCAATATGGAGACCAAAGATTATGAAGAAGACGGTGGAGAGAGAGACGAGGGTTTCACGTATTGACCTTCAATCACGGGATTCCACGTGGCGCCTTTCCATTCGTGGACCCCACGATGACGTGGTCGAGGTGTGTGTGCGCGAAAACTGAAAAACTCAGAGATTAGACTATATATTACCAACACAGAGCAATAGAGAGAGAGAGAGTTGTTGATCCAACAACGCGGTGCGAGTGGCCGTCCGAAAGATATAGAGAGAGAGAGAGAGAGAAAAAACGTGATTTCCTAATTTTTTCTTTTCTTCATTTTTCATTTTCATTTTTATTTTTATTTTCCCACTTTGCAATCTAAGCTGGCATTTATTTTTTCCTTCTCTCCAAAACACACCAACACTCACCGTTTTGTTCTTGTTGTTTCGTTAGCTCCCCCCGCTTTCTAGGGCTGCGAACCACCGAAACATTTTCCGAAAAATTAGAAAAAATTAGATTGATCGAAGAACAGCCAAATTTAAAAAAAAATTAAAAAAAAATTAGGAGCAGGAAAACGAAACGCAGAGAAGAACTGAATTGACAAATCCAGAACCTGCGAATCTCAATCTGGTAGATCTTGCTGCCATTTTTGATCGCATTTGCTGCAGCTGGAATTGCAGATTGTTTCTTCCGTTTCGTTTTTGATTTTTGTTTTGATTTTTTCTCCGGAGGTGGTTGGTTTGAATGGTGTTTTGGTCTTTCCCTTTTCGGAGGGAAATCACAATCGGAGGCTGTGGTAGGTAGTTGCTGGATCTGGTGAATGGTCATCGGATGAGAGAGGTGTTCATATGTTTCAAGGATCGAAAGGGAGAACGATGAAATGGGTTACATTGCTTAAGGACATCAAAGAGAAGGTTGGCCTCACTCAATCGCCATCCTCTGCTACTCCTTCTGCTTCTCCTCCTCCTCCTTCCTCTTCTTCCCGCGATAACAATGTCTTCTCAGCTTCGCAATCCTCTGCTCCGTCCCCTTCCAGGTCGCTTATATTTCTCCTTTTTTTTTTTCTTCAACTTTGTTATATCATTTTCTTTTTTAGGTTTATACAACTCTTAGTTCTGTGGTTTAGTTTGAGCAATGGCTTTGATTTGAGTGTTGCATTGGCTTGTAAACGCAGAAATTAACAAAAAGGAGAGAATAGAGAAAGGTGGTTGTAGTTTTTGTCTTTTCAACTGTGAAAGGATGGGATAGGTTTTGGTTAACGCAAAGCGTATACTTACATGATCCTAGTAGTTTCTGTTTGCCTCAATATGTTTCTCTTTTTTGAGGTGATGTTTATGTGAGTTGTAAGGAGCTGAGGATTGTTCTGAAATTAGTTTTTGCTATAGAAAGGGATAGCACTGGGCAGAGAAAAGCTTGGTTCTTAAATTGTGGTGCTCAATTTTGTGTGTGTTTTTCGTATCATATAAATTACCATGTAGAATTTGCGGTGCATTTACTGGGGGACAGTTGTGTTTTTGTTGCACATTATATTGCCATTTTTTATGATAAGTTTTAACTTGTCCACATGGTTACTTAATTTGTTATCCTGTGTGAGAGTGTGCAACTAGCTTCATTTGGTTGACTTTTATTTTTCCTCACTAAATACTATTTATATTCTGTTACTAGCATTCCAGTTTTGTACTGGTGCATGGTGCAAATGGTGGTTTTGTTAGTTATTGAAGCTTAACGGCATGGTAAATCATTTTTACATCATGTGTAGCTCAGTTTCGGAATGGGGATTTTAATTTTAGGCATGTTGTCTTCTCTGCTTATTTAGTTATTTGCGGCTGTCAAAACGGTCATATTTATTGATTTGGAAGATTTAAGACTAGCAAGATGTTTAAAATGATGAAAACGCATCAGTTCTTAATTTCACGCATCCATTCATTGGTGAACATGTAAGCTGATGTTTGATTTTGTCGCCACATGGCAGCATAGCCATATTTCAGAACATTTCTCGCCTTCTGTTACTGATTGGTCTAATATTAATTATTCTGTATATTAAATTCATTTTATTTAATGCATCTAATTTCAAGTACTTACGTGTTTCATAATTGGAGAGAATTGATTTTAGTGGATTGTTTTTTATGATGTCATTTTTCGGTATGATGTTAGATGGGATGATGACCTTTTGTATCTTTAAATCAGGGACAAATATGAACTGGAATTGGACTTCAAGAGATTCTGGGAAGAGTTTCGGTCATCCAGCTCTGAGAAGGTTCTTGTTGTTGCTTAGTTTCTTTGATGTTTTCATGCAGATTCAACATGCTTTGGTTGATGATGATGCTTCCTCATATCCTTGCAGGAAAAAGAAGCGGCCTTGAATTTGAGTATAGATGCCTTCTGTAGATTAGTGAAGCAGCATTCTAATGTAGCTCAGTTAGTTACCATGTAAAGAAATACTTTCTCCTTAGCTTCGTTGCATTGCTAACCATAATTTATATGTAACATTGATGTTGTGATTGGATGGTAGGGGGAAATGTTTTGTTCTCAAGTAATTGAATTAATGGTTTTGTAGAATGATAACCCTAACATGCATTACACTGTCAGTTGGAAGTTGCAACATGCTTTTGTATGTATTTGCCTTGCTTGTCTATGGTGCAGTAATGCTACTTAGTACTTTTGTGCTTAACTGTTCTATTCCAGTGCTTTGGTATAAATAAGCATTGGTGGGGTTGAAAATAGTGATATGTAATATTTTTTTTAACTAAAGTGGGCTTAAAGTGGTAGCGCTCTTGGTGTTCAAATGAATTTTCAATATCTGGTTGATACATTTTCTGGTTCAAAAGACTAGAAGCATTTTATTAAAACATGGACAGTTTTTTTGGTTGAAAGTGGAAAATTGTCTCATTCTATAATGTATAGATTTATAGATACCATCATCATGAAATAGACTCAAGAGCTGGTTCATGTCTTCTCATTTTCATTCTGAGGATTTTGAAAAATATAGATTGCATCTTTCGTGCTTAGATATATATGCTATTTTCAAAAATGCTAAATTATGTTATTCATCTTGGTGATTAGAGTTTATTAACTGACTTTTGGTAATGTTGATGGGGAACAGGTTAGTTGAGACCCATATATTCTCTTTTGTTGTGGGAAGAGCATTTGTAACAGACATAGAGAAGTTAAAAATCAGCAGCAAAACAAGATCTTTGGATGTTGCTCAAGTTTTAAAGTTTTTCTCGGAAGTCACAAAGGTCTGTCTTAGTCATTTTTTTATGATTTTTTTTTCCTGCTTATCTATTTGTTTTTAATATTTACAGAGATTCCCTTCTATGCAGGATGGCATCAGTCCAGGAGCAAATTTATTAACATCAGTGGGAATCCTTGTCTCTGGGGTATGCTTAAATCGTTTTGTGCCAAGTCATTATATTAGGAGCTATAGAATACAAGTTACTTTACTTACATAAAATACACAATTGTGTTTCCATCTGACATCTGTTCTTTGTTTTGATGGAAATATTAGTGTAATTAATATTGGTCTGTTATGCTATTATTCATTAGTGTTTAAGCAGTAGTTTTTATGTGTATATTTCTTTGCAGCCTATTGACAAACAGTCTCTACTTGACTCTGGGATATTTTGCTGTCTCATTCAAGTTCTCAATGCCCTACTCAATCCTGATGTAAACATTCGAAGGCCAAATAGTGCAATTGATCATGAAGAAAAACTCATATTACAAAAAGATTATGATGGTGAAGTTGGGCAAAATCGTCGACATGAGGTTCTGTTCTTTGCATCATATATCTTGAGTATCTATTCTTGTGTTTTACCACATGATTGGAGAACTAACAATTTTGTTTTAAGTTTTAAAGAGTCCCCCCTCCTTTGTTTATGACAACCTAAAGCTTAGCAGGCAATTGATAAATTGAATTTATTAGCATTTAATTATAGATTTTAATTATAGTTGTTGTTTTTATAAGCTCTATATATCCTTAGTAGAAACCCTTTCTGTAGAGCATTGACCATAAAGAAAATGACTTGGTTATGAGTAAATAATTGGGATAATCCAATATCACTTTTGTGCATTTTCTTAATTTGCATTTTAAAATATTCTGCTTATTCAGGTAGAGGGAAGTGTTGTGCATATCATGAAAGCTCTAGCAAGCCATCCATCAGCAGCACAGAGTTTGATAGAGGATGATTCACTTCAGTTGCTTTTTCAAATGGTTGCTAAGGGATCTTTGATTGTTTTTTCTCGTTATAAGGAAGGGCTTATTCCATTGCACAGCATACAACTTCACAGGCATGCTATGCAGGTAAAGTGTGGTACATTGTCTGCAGTCAAAATAGTAATGGACAATTGAAAATGATGTATAGCTTGAGCTGATTTTGTTCGTTTGATGGTTGAATATTTATGTTTTTGCTGCTTATAATTCTAGATACTTGGTCTTCTTTTGGTAAATGACAATGGAAGCACAGCCAAATACATCCGTAAGCATCATTTGGTATGTCATTTAACTTTCAAATTTAAATACTTTTTGTATGTCAAAGAAGTTGTCTTACAGAACTGATCTTGTATTATCATGCAGTTTATGTTTGTCTTTACCACTTTTATGGTATGTCAATGTTCAACAGCGTTTGTGGGCTAGTTTGAACTTTGAAATGATACATTATTGTGTTATGTCTCCTAGAATATAAGCTTAAATTATATATTATTATTACTAGGGGAAAAGAGGCACACTGTGTCTCTATATATCTATTTAAAAAAGAAAAAATAAAAGATAAAGATAATAAAAATTAAATAATAGTGGGTAGTTTACAATTGGAGTGTTTGCATGGTTTAGGGTAATTATAGGATAAAATAGTCTAAAAAAATGTGTACCAAAAATGGATTTCCCTTTTATTATATGTACAGAGTATATATGTATAGATTATTATTATTTTGCTTTTAGGCTTTGGCTCAAGGGGTGGGTTGGTGTACTTTTAGGATTTATTGTTGTAAAATGATCTCCTTTTGGTTTCTTTTCTTATAATCTCTTGAAAAATGAAGAGAAAACTGGTTTGCTATGCTATCACATGTTCTACTCTTTACAAGAAATCATATCACATTATCCTTTATACTATGCAATTACAAATATACAAAATGTGTTGTGGGTTTAAAAAGAAATCTCTAATAGAAATGCAGATTTGTTAATGAAGAGCAATAACAACCATAAGGTTACATCAAGCCCTTCCTCACAAAGCTTTAGGGAAGTGTGCTGGAAAAAAATGTTATAAACATGAGGTGGGGATGCTAACAATTTAGCTTTGGGGTAGAAACTATAAATAAATGTAAAGTAGTTGGTTAAATAAATTATAGGAGTTGCCCATACTCTTCTGGAATTGTCAATTTGGTTTTCTTGATCAGTTTGAATATTCATAAAAAAGACAAGGCAATTGGCCTATTTACATGAATAAGTTTGGCATTTGCTGTGAAATATGGCACTAGCCAGTTTATAACTTGTAGAAACATGTCTTCAGCAATCAACTCTCCAACACTATATGTTTGATTTCAACATAAATCTAGCAATCTTAACATAATCGTCTTAAAATCATAAACATCAATGCTGAAATTTTCTCGTTTAACAAAATACAGTTCTGAAAGTTGTCAATTTGTCATCTAGTTCTTGAAATTGTTGTAAACCAACCTATAACTCTAGTGTGCTCAATTCACATCTTAAAAAATATATAACTTTATTAAGAAATCATGTCTTATTGTTTGAGATTTGAAAGTATCTGTGTCCACTGACTAGGATGATGCTTGAGGTCTCTTATCAATCATAAAATTATTGTATGTGGCTTTGGTGCATTATCATTTTTGTAGAATATTGTTTATAGAATTCATTTTATGTTTTTGAAATTAATCCTGTGATGTATTTTTCCTCCATGCAGATAAAAGTTCTTCTATTGGCAGTGAAGGATTTTGATCCTGATTGTGGAGATGCTGCCTATACCGTAGGCATTGTTGACTTGTTACTCAAGTGTGTAGAATTGTCATATAGAGCTGGTAATTTTCAAATGTTTTATCTGAAGAGGAATGAATGGGGTTCCAATAAATGTAACAGTATCATTGGCTAAATTCTGGTTGAATGTACTACCTCCGGTACTAATTATAAGACCATTTCAACTAATTTACACTCTTTAAAAAAAATTACACTCTTTAAGAAAATTAGTTAATTTAGTTAATAACATTAAATTTGGCAATAATTTAAATCACTTTTCCAAAATTACCCGTAACATCTCTGAAATTAACATTTTATCTTTCCATTTAATCATTTTCCACCTGATTATTTAATGTTTGGAAGAAAGATATTTATGTGTCTATTTATCTTCTCCAATTCTAATAAGAGAAAGAGTTTTTATCCAATTAATTTCAAGCATTTATCATCTTTTGTCTAGAATAATTAATTAAATAAGGATATTTTAGAGAAAATATAATTAATACATCTCACAATTAAAGAGGGTCTTATATTAAGGGATAAACAAAAAAGTGAAAAGGGTCTTATATATAGGGGCAAAGGAAGTATTTCATTTTACTATGGGTGTAGCTAGCTAATTTTAAATGTCTGCCACTGTTGCATACTTCTGATTTCTTACATTGGTTCTGCAGAGGCTGCTGGTGTCAGACTTAGAGAGGATATACATAATGGTCATGGATATCAATTCCTGGTTCAATTTACTCTAAATCTGTCCAATATGACAAAAAATCAGGGCTTTCAATCTACTCATTCTGAGACGTTTGATGACCAAGATATTGCTTTAGATGGATCCCAAAATAGCAGAGGACAAAATTCCAATGAACAAGAACAGTCCTCCATTCAGTATCTTTCACCCACATTATCTAGGTTGCTTGATGTTCTTGTTAGTCTAGCTCAAACTGGACCAAATGAGTCTGCACATACTTATGGAGGTAAGGGTTCTAAATCTATTCAGAACAAGGGTGGTGGTCATAGCAAAAGTCGCACCTTATCTTCTGATTGGCTTGGTGATGAATTATGGGAGAAGGAGAATGATAAAATTAAAGACCTTGAAGCAGTTCAGATGATACAAGATATTCTCCTCAAAGCTAATAGCTGGAAATTGCAGGCTGAAGTATTAAATAGACTGTTTAAAATTTTTTCAGGCCACATAGAGAACTATAAGTTGTGTCAGCAATTACGAACTGTTCCACTTTTAATCCTAAATATGGCTGGTTTTCCTTCCAATTTGCAAGAGATAATCTTGAAAATTCTTGAGTATGCTGTGACTGTTGTAAATTGTGTTCCTGAGCAAGAGCTACTTTCACTCTGCTGTTTGTTGCAGCAGCCAATAACCTCAACATTGAAGCAGACAATACTTTCTTTCTTTGTAAAACTCTTGTCCTTTGACCAACAGTACAAGAAAGTTTTGCGAGAAGTTGGTGTTTTGGAAGTTATGCTAGATGATTTGAAGCAACACAGGATTTTGGGTCCAGAGCAACAAAATTTTAACCCGGACCTGTTGGAGAGAAAAAATAGCCCAAGCAATTTCAAGAAACATATGGACAATAAGGATGTTATTATTACTTCACCAAAGTTTATGGAATCTGGTTCTGGGAAGTTCCCTATTTTTGATGTTGAAGATACAATTGCTATTGCCTGGGACTGCATGGTATCTTTATTGAAGAAAGCTGAGGCTAATCAAGCTTCATTCCGCTTAGCTAGTGGTGTGACTGCAATATTGCCTTTTCTAGTGTCTGATGTACATCGTTCAGGGGTTCTCAGGATATTGTCATGTCTTATAATTGAAGATACCTCACAGGTTTGTTGACATTCTCTGAATTTTTTTTCTTTCTGATTTTAAATTTTGAATGGGTTTGAGCATTAATTGTCTCACAGTAAGCATGCCATTAATCAGAAGACAATTATTCTTGAATGCCCTGAATGTCTAGGGTATCCTGCCTACAAAATTACTCATGCTGTTGTTTCACTTGAAATCATCGTGATGATTATCTGATTGTAACTTTTACCAGGTTCATCCTGAAGAATTAGGTGTGTTGGTTGAAATTTTGAAAAGCGGCATGGTTACTGGTGCTTCAGGATCCCAATACCGGCTTTCCCTTGATGCAAAATGTGACACTATGGGAGCACTGTGGCGGGTCCTTGGAGTTAATAATTCTGCTCAGAAGGTTTTTGGTGAAGCCACTGGTTTTTCTCTTTTGCTTACAACACTCCATGGGTTCCAAAGTGATGGTGGGGACTTGGACCAATCTTCATTGAACGTTTACATTAAGGTGTTTACATACTTGTTGCGTGTTGTAACTGCTGGAGTATCTGACAATGCTGTTAATAGAATGAAGTTGCATGCAATTATATCATCACAAACTTTCATTGAACTTCTTAGTGAGTCTGGCTTATTGTGTGTGGAGCATGAAAAACAAGTCATCCAGTTGATGTTGGAACTTGCCCTTGAAATAGTGATTCCTCCTTTCTTAGCATCAGAAGGTTTGATAAAATCAAATGGAACTGAGAATGAGTCATCTCATAATCTTTTATTGAGTCCATCAGGTCCAATTAATCCTGATAAAGAGCGGGTTTACAATGCTGGTGCTGTTAGAGTTCTGATTCGTTCACTGTTGCTGTTTACTCCCATGGTGCAGTTACAACTTTTAGATTTGATTGAAAAGTTGGCTCGTGCTGGTCCCTTCAACCAGGAAAGCCTCACGTCCATAGGTATGTACTACATTGTTCATTGTTATTTGCAATTCTTTAATACTCACTTGATTTTTTCTGCTAACAATAGGTTGTGTGGAACTTTTGCTGGAAACAATCCACCCATTTCTTCTGGGTTCGTCTTCTTTACTTTCTTATGCATTGAAAATTGTGGAAGTCCTTGGTTCTTACAGGTAGGTTGCATATTCTTATTGCCACATTGTGCAAAAGTTATTGCATTTTAATATAATCTTCTATGTATATTCGGATAACAATATGTTTCTGTTGTTTAGGCTATCTGCATCGGAACTTCGTATGCTCCTTAGATATGTTCTGCAAATGAGGATGAAAAACTCAGGTCATATAATTGTTGAAATGATGGAAAAATTAATTCTTACGGGAGATATGGCCTCAGAAAATATTTCTCTAGCACCATTTGTGGAGATGGACATGAGCAACATTGGGCATGCTGCTATTCAGGTTTCCTTGGGTGAAAGATCATGGCCTCCAGCCGCTGGTTATTCATTTGTTTGTTGGTTCCAGTTTCGTAATTTTTTAAAATCACAATCAAAAGAATCAGACATTTCAAAATTTGCCTCTTCCAAGAAGCGCTCTGGTTCAAGTGGATTGCATGAGCGGCATATCTTAAGGATTTTTTCGGTTGGTGCTACTAACAATGATAATGCAACCTATGCAGAACTTTATCTCCAGGAGGATGGTGTTCTAACCCTAGCAACCAGCAACTCTTCCTTCTTATCATTTTCCGGTTTAGAACTTGAAGAAGGAAGGTGGCATCACCTTGCAGTCATTCACAGCAAACCAAATGCTCTTGCTGGGCTGTTTCAAGCTAGTTTTGCGTATGTTTATCTAAATGGAAAGCTAAGACACACTGGGAAATTAGGATATTCTCCATGCCCACCTGGTAAACCATTGCAAGTCAGTATTGGGACATCAGTTGGAAATGCTAGAGTTAGTGACTTGACGTGGAAACTACGTTCTTGCTATCTTTTTGAGGAAGTGCTTACACCAGGCTGTATTTGTTTTATGTACATACTTGGTAGAGGATATAGAGGTCTCTTCCAGGACACAGATCTTTTGCAATTTGTACCTAACCAGGCCTGTGGTGGTGGTAGTATGGCCATATTAGATTCTTTAGATGCTGATTCGACTTTGGCTGCAAATGGTCAGAGACTGGATGTTACCAGCAAGCAGGGAGATCTAAAAGCAGATGGGAGTGGAATTGTTTGGGATTTGGAGAGACTTGGAAACCTTTCTTTACAGCTTTCAGGAAAGAAACTTATTTTTGCATTTGATGGAACTTCTACGGAATTCATTCGATCGTCAGGTAGCTTTTCAATGCTCAATCTGGTTGATCCTATGTCGGCTGCTGCCTCTCCTATTGGAGGTGTGTAACTAACTTTTAAAAGTTACATGTTTTGTTGACTTCTTTCTCTTGTTGGAGTTGTTTCTTCAATCTCAGTTTTATTTTCATTTTGGGGATTGCAGGTATTCCACGTTTTGGACGTCTCTGTGGAGATATTTATATCTGTAAGCAAGGTGTGATTGGAGAGACTATCCGCCCTATTGGTGGGATGGAACTTGTTCTTGCTCTTGTTGAAGCAGCAGAAACAAGGGATATGCTGCACATGGCCCTAACTCTACTTGCCTGTGCGCTTCATCAAAATCCTCAGAATCTTAAGGACATGCAAACTTATAGGGGCTACCATCTGCTTGCGCTTTTTCTGCGTCGTAGAATGTCATTATTTGACATGCAATCTCTTGAGATCTTCTTTCAAATTGCTGCTTGTGAAGCTTCTTTTTCTGAACCAAAAAAGTTCGAGATTACTCATACTACTTTGTCTCCTTCTGCATCTCTGCCTGAAACCAGTATTGAGGATCATTTTTTGTCAAAGTTTAATGATGATAATTCTTCAATTGGAACTCATGGGGACATGGATGATTTCTCTGTGCAAAAAGACTCATTTAGTCACATTTCAGAGCTGGAAAATACTGATGTTGCTGCTGAAACTTCAAATTGCATTGTCTTGTCAAATGCAGACATGGTTGAACATGTTTTATTGGATTGGACATTGTGGGTAACTGCCCCAGTTTCAATCCAAATTGCATTACTTGGATTTCTTGAAAATTTAGTTTCCATGCATTGGTATAGAAATCATAATCTTACAATTTTGAGGCGAATTAACCTTGTTCAACATTTACTAGTGACGTTGCAAAGGGGTGATGTTGAAGTTCCCGTCCTTGAAAAACTGGTTGTACTGCTTGGGGTCATTTTAGAAGATGGATTTCTATCTTCCGAACTTGAAAATGTGGTTAGATTTGTGATTATGACATTTGATCCACCGGGGTTGACTCCACAGCGCCCAATTTTGAGAGAATCAATGGGTAAACATGTAATTGTCAGAAATATGTTACTAGAGATGTTTATTGATCTACAAGTCACTATTAAATCTGAAGAGTTGCTTGAGCAGTGGCATAAAGTTGTTTCCTCTAAATTAATTACATATTTTCTTGACGAAGCAGTTCATCCCACAAGTATGAGATGGGTCATGACTCTACTTGGTGTGTGTCTTACTTCCTCTCCAACATTTGCTCTTAAATTTCGTACTGGTGGAGGTTATCAAGGTTTAGTTCGGGTGTTACCCAGTTTCTATGATTCCCCAGACATCTATTATATTTTATTTTGCTTGATATTTGGCAAGCCAGTTTATCCAAGGTTACCAGAGGTGCGCATGTTGGACTTTCATGCCCTTATGCCGAGTGATGGAAGTATAACAGAACTGAAGTTTGTAGAGTTGCTGGATTCTGTGATTGCTATGGCCAAAACCACTTTTGATAGAGTAAGCATGCAGTCAATGCTTGCTCACCAAACTGGTAATCTTTCCCAGTTTGGTGCAAGCCTTGTGGCTGAGCTTGTAGAGGGAAATTCAGACATGGCTGGTGAGCTTCAGGGGGAAGCTTTGATGCACAAGACATATGCTGCTCGCCTTATGGGTGGAGAGGCTTCAGCCCCTGCTGCTGCAACTTCAGTTTTAAGATTTATGGTTGATCTGGCTAAGATGTGCCCCCCTTTTACTGCTGTTTGTAGGCGTGCAGAATTTCTGGAAAGCTGCATTGACCTATATTTTTCTTGTGTGAGGTTTGCTATCAGATAACCTCTCTGTATCTTTCATTATTTTTTGCATTACTTTGTATTTTCTGATTTTAGTTCTGACTATAATTGTTACCTGACTACTTACTTACCTGATCAACAATCCAACTGAAATGAGTCCTTTTTTTTTTATCGAATTAAACCTTTTGTGCCTGCAGGGCTGCACATGCTGTTAAAATGGCTAAAGAACTTTCTGCAGTGACAGAAGAGAAAACCTTGAATGATTGTGATGATACATGCAGTTCCCATAATACATTTTCTAGCTTGCCTCTGGATCAGGATCAGTCTGTCAAAACCTCCATCAGTGTTGGGAGCTTTCCTCAAGGGCAGGTCAGTACAAGTTCTGATGATATGGCTGCGCCATCAAACACTCTGGCTGGTGAGAGATCACAGACTAATCTCACTGTATCTGAGCTGGAGCCAAATAAATCTATCCATGAAGATATGCAAACTGTACAGAGCTTGGATGGTGATAATGCTGATCAAGGCTCTGTTGCTTCCAGTGCACATGAGTTCACCTTTCACAGTATCAAAGGCAATTTGGAAATTCTCCAACTGACAGATTCTCAGAGTTCAGCATCTTTTGCTGCACTGGATTCTCCCGATTTTTCAGAAAAGTCCAGTTCTAGAATTCCGCTTACACCTTCTTCAACACCAGTTGTTGCATTGACATCCTGGCTGGGAAGTGCAAATCACAATGAAGCAAAGTCTCCCTTAACTGCCACTCCTTCTTTTGATTCTTCCATGTCTGCTGTGGAATTTGATTCATCTTCAAATCCAAAGTCTAGTTCTCAAGTGCCATCTTCGGAAAATGCTTACTTTACTGTAACCTCAAAGCTGCTTTTGGACATAGATGATTCTGGATATGGTGGCGGCCCATGTTCTGCTGGAGCTACTGCTGTGTTAGATTTCATTGCAGAAGTACTCTCTGATTTTGTGACAGAGCAGGTCAAAGCATCACAGCTCATAGAGAACATCTTGGAAAGTGTTCCTCTATGTGTTGATGGTGAGTCTGTGTTAGTTTTCCAAGGCCTATGCCTCAGTAGATTTATAAACTTTCTTGAAAGGCGACTGTTACGAGATGATGAAGAAGATGAGAAAAAATTGGATAAGATTCGCTGGTCATCAAATTTGGATGCTTTGTGCTGGATGATAGTGGATCGGGTGTACATGGGTGCTTTTCCTCAACCTTCAGCAGTACTGAAAACTCTTGAGTTCTTGTTATCGATGTTGCAGTTGGCAAACAAGGATGGTAGAATTGAAGAAGCTGCTCCTGCTGGAAAGAGGCTCTTATCAATTTCAAGAGGAAATAAGCAGCTAGAGGCTTATATCCATTCAATTCTTAAGAACACTAATCGAATGATATTGTATTGTTTCCTCCCACCATTCTTAGTCAGTATAGTGGAAGATGATCTTCTTTTGCGGTTGGGTTTGCTTACTGAACCTAAAAAGAAATCGTCCTCAACTTCCTGTCAAGAGGATTCAGGAATTGACATAAGCACAGTCTTGCAGTTATTGGTTGCTCATAGAAGAATTATATTCTGTCCCAGCAACATCGATACAGATCTTAATTGCTGTCTGTGTGTGAATCTGATATCGCTTCTGGGTGATAAAAGACAAAATGTACAAAATATTACCATTGATGTATTCAAGTATCTTCTGGTACATAGGAGAGCCGCATTAGAAGACTTGCTTGTTTCTAGACCTAATCAGGGGCAGCAGCTTGATGTGCTCCATGGTGGTTTTGATAAGTTATTGACCAGAAGTTTATCTGAATTTTTGGAGTGGTATCAAAATACTGAGCAGGTTGTGAATAAGGTATTGGAGCAGTGTGCTGGCATTATGTGGGTGCAGTATATTGCAGGATCGGCAAAGTTTCCAGGAGTAAGAATCAAAGGCATGGAAGGTCGTCGTAAGAAAGAAATGGGAAGGAAATCTCGAGAAGCTGCAAAATTGGATTTAAGACACTGGGAACAGGTAAATGAGCGAAGATATGCGCTGGATTTAGTTCGTGATGCAATGTCCACTGAGTTAAGAGTTGTTAGGCAAGATAAGTATGGATGGATTCTACATGCCGAGAGTGAGTGGCAATGCCATCTACAACAACTTGTTCATGAACGAGGGATATTCCCACTAAGTAAATCCTCTTTCACTGAAGAGCCAGAATGGCAGCTTTGTCCCATTGAAGGTCCGTATCGAATGCGGAAAAAACTTGAATGCTGCAAACCTAAAATTGATACCATACAGAATATTCTTGATGGACAATTTGAATTAGACAAACCAGAGTTGTCTAAAGGAAAAATTGAAAATGGTCCTGATGCATCAGAGTCAAAACCTTATTTTCAACTGTTGACTGATGGTGGCAAGCAGAATGGTTCTGATGGTGAGCTGTTTGATGAACCTTTCTTTAATAAGTTGGATTGTGTCAAGGATGCTGTTTTTGATAAGAATGAATGGAATGATGACAAGGCAAGTAGCATGAATGAAGCAAGCCTCCATTCAGCACTTGAGCTTGGTGCCAAATCTAGTGCAATATCTGTCCCAATAGAAGAAAGCACACTTGGAAGATCTGATATGGGATCTCCCAGGCAATTTTCTTCAACGAGAACTGACGATGTTAAGATTGCTGATGACAAATCTGACAAAGAACTGCACGACAATGGTGAATACTTGATTAGACCTTTTCTGGAACCATTTGAGAAAATACGATTTAAATATAACTGTGAACGGGTTATGGGCCTTGACAAACATGATGGCATATTCCTGATAGGTGAATTCTGTTTGTATGTGATTGAGAACTTCTACATTGATGATTCTGGTTGCTTTTGTGAGAAGGAATGTGAAGATGAGCTTTCAGTTATTGATCAGGCTTTGGGTGTCAGGAAAGATATTACTGGCAGTGTGGATTTTCAATCCAAATCAACTTTGTCATGGAGCACACCAGCTAAATCATTGGTTGGGGGAAGGGCATGGGCCTATATTGGTGGGGCATGGGGTAAGGAGAAAATACATAATGGTGGAAACTTACCTCATCCTTGGCGTATGTGGAAGCTTGATAGTGTTCATGAGATTTTGAAGCGTGATTACCAGCTTCGTCCTGTTGCCATTGAAATATTTAGCATGGATGGATGTAATGATCTCTTGGTTTTCCACAAAAAAGAGAGAGAAGAAGTTTTTAAAAATTTAGTTGCCATAAATCTGCCTCGCAATAGCATGTAAGAATTATCTCCTTGGCAACAATGTTTTTGGTAGTGTATTTTTTAGTCACTTTTCTTTGTTTTTGTTTTGTTCTCCCCCCCCCCCCCCCTTCTTCTTTTCACCTCCCCCTCTATTTTTAATGCATACTGCAATTGCAAAAGCATATCTTTCGATATTATTGGTTGTTGTTGACCTTAGCATGTATGCTGCAATATTGATGATGAGTTGTGGCATAAAAACCAAAGGACTTGAAATATGTACAAACACTCTGGTGCTGTTCTTTATAGTTGTTTACCATTGCACCATACATTTGAGCTTTGCTTTTTTGTTTTCTAATTTGGTTCTCACAGCATTTTTTTTGGTGCATGTGTTGTTGGCAAATGTCTTCCCCCATTTCATGTTTTTTAATGTAATTTGTCTGCTTGTATCAGGTTGGACACAACTATTTCAGGATCCTCCAAACAAGAAAGCAACGAGGGTAGTCGTCTTTTCAAGATAATGGCAAAATCCTTTTCAAAAAGGTGGCAAAATGGAGAAATAAGCAATTTCCAGTACCTCATGCATCTTAACACCTTGGCAGGACGTGGATATAGTGATCTTACCCAATATCCAGTCTTTCCATGGGTCCTTGCAGATTATGAGAGTGAAAATCTTGATTTTTCCAACCCGAAAACATTTCGCAGGCTTGATAAACCAATGGGCTGCCAGACACCTGAAGGTGAAGATGAGTTTAAAAAAAGGTTGGTCTCCTTTAATGTTGTTTTATTTTTTCTTATGTTGCAATTTTTCTTTGATTTTATATGATGTGTTGTTTTCAGTCATGCTTTACCTGGGGATTATTTGTTAATTTATGCTGAGTTTCAAGAAGCAAACGGAAAAGTTAATATCCATTCAAAAAGAACTATAAATATGGGGCTCATGCTTGAATTATATTATCTAGGAAGCAGATGTAGGAACAATCTTTACATTTGCAAGAAAATTATTTAAAGTCATACACTTATCCCTAAACCAAGATATTATAATAATAATTAAATCATAGAAAAACAGAGTATTGTGACCATGGAACCCGATCTTAGAAGTTATTATCTCCTTCTGAAGCATCACATTAACCGTTTCATTCTTTATTAGATATGAGAGCTGGGATGATCCGGAGGTCCCGAAGTTTCACTATGGATCTCATTATTCTAGTGCTGGAATTGTCCTATTCTATCTTCTCCGCCTGCCCCCATTCAGTACAGAGAATCAAAAACTTCAGGGTGGCCAATTTGATCATGCTGATCGTCTTTTCAATAGCGTAAGGGACACTTGGTTAAGTGCTGCTGGGAAGGGAAACACTTCTGATGTGAAAGAATTGATTCCAGAATTTTATTACATGCCCGAGTTCTTGGAAAATAGATTCAATCTTGACTTGGGAGAGAAACAGTCTGGCGAGAAGGTTATCCTATTGCAAATATACTTTGCTATTTGTAATTCTCTGAGAATCAATATGCAGGTGAAGTGACTGGTAAACTTAATTATTATGGTGTTTCTTTCAGGTTGGGGATGTCATCCTACCTCAATGGGCCAAAGGTAGTGCTCGAGAGTTCATTAATAAGCACAGGGAAGCTCTTGAATCAGATTATGTCTCAGAAAATTTGCATCACTGGATAGACCTCATTTTTGGATATAAGCAAAGAGGGAAGGTGGGTGTCATATTTTGCAATATAGATACTTGTCCCTCCATGATTACTTGGCTGTTGTAATTTTTTAATCATATTATTACGTTGTTATTTTTTTCTCTCATTTCTATTGTTGAAGGTTTAGCTCTACAATCTAATGTCACTTTCTTTAATTGCTTACACACATTTAGTGGAAGGCTCTAATCTGGTTAGATGTAGGACATGGCCTTTTATGGACTCCCATGATAAATGATGTCTTGATGTTTTGTTTTACTATGAAATGTGGGGAGGGGGGGGGGATGTTTTAATTTCTAGCACTGCACCACCTTCTGTATAATCCCAGTCTTATTTGCATCCTTTCTGTAGATTGTCTTAATGTGCAATATTAGAATACTGAATTGCATTAATTTGTGGCATTTAAAATTGTGCCATCTTATGCATTGTTACTTGAGTTGACAATCATGATTTTGTAGTGATCACCAATCTTTTATTGTTGATAAATTAAAAATCCTTGGCCCAAATTTCAATGTGTGCTTTTCGACATAGATTGACAATAATGACAGTAAACTGTGACATATCTTGATGATTAGGTCAATGTATAAGTTCTCAACAAATGTTCTAAATAGACCTTCATTTTCTATTAAGGAATATTTATTCTATTCTCTTCCTGATATCTTTTTTTTTTTTTTTTTTTTTTTCTGTATAATGGCTAAAACGTAAAAGGGGACATTTATAGTGATCAAGTGAATAGTTTAACCTTAAAACAATCAACCTTTTGAATTGTGTAGTGTAGATTAGGGAAATTGCTCCACAAACTTGGGTTGCTTCGTTTGTAATTTGTATAAAATTTCTCTCTTTGATGTTTGTTATATATGTTTGGCTTAATGGATTGTGTCTTGGATAAAACTATATGCTTGTGGTCCATGTGTGGTACTCTTTTTTTTTTTTTTTTTTTTTTTTTTTCCTGTATAATGGACAGGCTGCTGAGGAATCAGTTAATGTGTTCTATCATTATACATATGAAGGGAGTGTAGACATAGACTCAGTTACTGATCCTGCAATGAAAGCATCCATTTTAGCACAAATTAATCATTTTGGGCAGACACCTAAACAACTGTTCCTCAAGCCCCATGTGAAAAGGCGAACTGACCGAAAACTTCCTCCTCATCCCCTTAAACATTCCAGTCATCTTGCTGCACATGAGATTCGCAAAAGCTCTTCACCAATTACTCAAATTGTCACTCATAATGATAAGGTTCTCATAGCTGGAACTAACCATTTGCTTAAACCAAGAACATATACCAAATATGTTGCTTGGGGTTTTCCTGATCGTAGTTTGAGATTTATGAGCTATGAACAAGATAAACTTCTTTCAACACATGAAAATTTACATGGAGGTAATCAAGTTCAGTGCGCTAGTGTTAGCCATGATGGTCAGATTCTGGTTACTGGGGGTGATGATGGACTAGTTAATGTATGGAGAGTTAGCAAGTTTGGGCCCCGAGCCTTACGACACTTGAAGTTGCAGAAGCCACTTTGCGGTCACACAGCCAAAATTACGTGCCTTCAAGTTAGCCAGCCCTACATGCTTATTGTGAGTGGATCGGATGATTGCACTGTTATTATATGGGATCTCAGCTCCATGGCATTTGTGCGGCAGCTCCCAGAATTTACAGCGCCAGTTTCAGCAGTATCTGTTAATGATTTGACCGGAGAGATTGTTACAGCAGCTGGTATTCTTCTGGCTGTCTGGAGTATAAATGGGGATTGCCTGGCAATGATCAGAGCATCACAACTGCCATCTGATTCCATTCTCTCAGTGACAAGCAGTACATTTTCTGATTGGTTGGACACAAAGTGGTATGCAACAGGTCATCAGAGTGGAGCTGTCAAGGTGTGGCAGATGGTTCACTGCTCCAATCCAGATAGCTCCCTTAGCAAATTTGGTTCTAGTGGGATAAATCTTGGTGCAAAAGAACCAGAATACAAGTTGGTCCTGCGCAAAGTGCTCAAGTTCCATAAACATCCAGTTACTGCCCTTCACCTCACAACCGACCTGAAACAGTTTTTGAGTGGGGATTCAGACGGGCATTTGCTTTCCTGGACACTGCCTGATGAAAGTCTGCGAGGTTCATTGAATCAGGGGTGACACTGGTAATGAGGGTTCGTTCTGCTGACTTCAGCTTTTTGCCAGCCTTTAATTGTTGAATCCTAACATTGGCTTCTGAGTGGATCTCAATTGTAGAAAGATGGATTCATGTTGATAATTGGAGAGAATTGCAAAAGAATGCTGGCCAGATTGAAACAGAGCAAACAAGGTTGTAAGAGAAAAGATGCGAGCACAACTAAGATATGCGTGTAAGAGTACAAGGAGTTCACTTGGTGAGTGAAGCATCTGTGATGAAAGACGGATTGTAGGTGGAAAAGGAGAAAGCAAATGTTGCCCGCGGTCTTGTATTTTGGGTGACTGGCGGCGAATATTTTGATTTTGCCAGAGAAGTCTACTGTTTTTTCTTTGATGTAAATATGTGATTGTAGTGTGTAATTAAGTTGTATAGTAAAAGGCTAGTGGTGAAATGGATTGTGATTGCAATGATAGGCCCAATATGAGGTATGGTCGTGGGAATGGGATGAGTGCAATCCTTTCTCGGAAATTCTTTTTCCATTGGGGCATTTCTTTTATTGAGCCCCTCAAAGAAAACAAGGAAATTGCCTGTGATTTGTACATTTTTTCTGAATATTCCTCCCATTTAGTTATTTGCTTCTTGGCTGGCTCGCCTTTTACATTTGCAGTCTAGGAATAGGATCAATGTATTTGTAATCGTAATTTAAAAAGTTGCTTGCTTTCTCAGTTGTGGCTATCTCCTTCATGTTAGAGGCATTGAACAATACAATGGTCGCTCGCACATGATACCGATATATACGCACAGTATAATTATAGTATAAATTTAACATAAACATAAAAATATACAGGTTAAATTAGAATGTAAACAATTATATTTCATCAGTCATCAATATTTGTTAGACAAGTATATATAAAAAGATATATATAATTAAATATTATTTATCTAATCATAAAGACATACTTGCATACAAATATTTGGCAAAAGTGTGTTTTTTAAGTTACTTTGAAGAATAATAATTTTTTATTAGTTTTTACAAATTTACAACGAGTTTATTTATTTTATAAAATGGAGTTAACAGTACCTGGGCAATATTGGTATTAAAGAAATATTGTTTTGATTATCGTAGTCAGTGAAAAAAGGGTCTGATGATATTGTAACATAACATATTTGAATCTTTGTCACTCTAATTTGGTGTTCCTCTAGTTGCGGTTGTTGGATTGCATGAGATCCTTGTTTAGGTGCGGCACAGTGCACCTTCACTCATGCACCATCACCATGCCCACTCCAATCCTCACCCCTTTTCCTCCCAACCATGGAACACTTAAACCCGCTCTTCAATCCTTAACCCTCCTTTTCACTCACCCACTCGCAACCCCCTCGCGTCTCGAACACGCGCATTCCCTCCTCCTCGATCTCTGCGCCGCCGAGAAAGCCCTCCCACAAGGCCAACAATTGCATGCCCGTTTGCTTAAATCTCACGCTTCTGCGTTTCTGGCCACCAAGCTTGTCCACATGTACGGGAAGTGTGGTTCTTTGCATGATGCAGTGAAGGTGTTCGATGAAATGAGCGAAAAAACTATTTTTACCTGGAATGCCATGATGGGTGCGTTTGTGTCGAGTGGTAAATATCTCGAAGCTATTAAGTTGTATAAAGAGATGAGACTCCTTGGGGTGGCGCTAGATGCTTGTACTTTTCCCTCTGTGCTTAAAGCATGTGGTGCTCTTGGTGAAAGCCGCTTGGGCGCTGAAATCCATGGCGTGGCGGTTAAGTGTGGATATGGTGAATTTGTGTTTGTGTGCAATGCGCTTATTGCTATGTATGCGAAGTGTGGTGATCTTGGTGGGTCTAGGGTGTTGTTTGATGGGATTATGATGGAGAAAGAGGACACTGTGTCTTGGAATTCTATTATTTCGGCACATGTGGCAGGAGGGGAGTGTTTGGAGGCTTTGTCGCTTTTTAGAAGGATGCAGGAGGTTGGTGTTGCTAGAAATACGTATACTTTTGTTGCAGCTCTTCAGGGTTGTGAGGATCCCTCATTTGTTAAACTGGGTATGGAGATACATGGTGTTGTATTGAAGTCTAACCATTTTGCTGATGTCTATGTTGCCAATGCTTTGATAGCTATGTATACTAAATGTGGTCGAATCGGGGATGCTGAAAGAGTTTTTGGAAGTATGTTCTGGAGGGATTATGTATCTTGGAATACATTGCTTTCCGGTTTTGTTCAAAATGAGCTATATAATGATGCTCTAAGTTACTTCCGGGAAATGCAGGATTCTGGCCAAAAGCCTGACCAGGTGTCAGTGTTAAACTTGATTGCGGCGTCTGGGCGATTGGGTTGTTTATTGAAAGGGAAGGAAGTTCATGCCTATGCAATAAGAAATGGATTGGATTCCAATTTGCAGATTGGGAACACTTTGATAGATATGTATGCCAAGTGTTCTTGTGTGAAATATATGGGTCATGCTTTTGAATGTATGCCTGTAAAAGACTTTATTTCTTGGACAACTATTATTGCCGGCTACGCACAGAATGAATTCCATCTGGAAGCAATAAATTTGTTCCAGAAGGTTCAGCTGGAAGGGATGGATGCTGATCCCATGATGATTGGAAGCCTTTTGCGGGCTTGTAGTGGGTTGAAATCTAGAAACTTAATCAAAGAAATTCATGGTTATGTTTTGAAAAAAGATTTAGCTGATAAAATGCTACAAAATGCCATGGTCAATGTATACGGAGAGGTGGGGCATATAGATTATGCAAGACGTGCATTTGAAATAATTAAATCCAAGGATATTGTGTCTTGGACCAGTATGATTACCTGTTGTGTTCATAATGGACTTCCAGTTGAGGCTCTTGAACTTTTTTGCTGTCTAAAACAAACTAATATTCAACCTGATTCTATAGCTCTCATTAGTGCACTCTCTGCCACTGCGAGTTTATCTTCATTGAAGAAAGGGAAGGAGATTCATGGATATCTGCTTAGGAAGGGTTTCTTCTTGGAGGGACCAATTGCTAGCTCCCTGGTGGACATGTATGCTCGCTGTGGAACTGTGCAGAACTCAACAAAGATATTTAATTCTGTAAAACAGAGAGATCTAATTTTATGGACTTCTATGATTAATGCAAATGGAATGCATGGATGTGGAAATGAGGCCATTGCTTTATTCAAGAAAATGACTGATGAGAATGTTATTCCTGATCATGTAACCTTTTTGGCTTTATTATACGCATGCAGCCATTCAGGATTGTTGGCTGAAGGTAAGAGGTTTTTTGACATCATGAAATATGAATATCAATTGGAACCCTGGCCAGAACATTATGCCTGTGTGGTTGATCTCCTTAGCCGTTCCAATTCCCTGGAAGAGGCTTACAATTTTGTGAGAAACATACCTATTAAACCTTCTTCTGAAGTCTGGTGTGCTCTACTTGGGGCATGCCGCATTCACTCTAATAAAGAATTAGGAGAGCTGGCAGCAAAGAAGCTCTTACAATCAGATTCAGAGAATTCAGGAAAATATGTACTGATATCAAACATCTTTGCAGCAGATGGAAGATGGAATGATGTTGAAGAAGTGAGGTTGAAAATGAAGGGAAATGGGTTGAGGAAGAAACCAGGGTGTAGTTGGATTGAGGTTGAGAATAAGATTCACACCTTCACGGCAAGGGACAAGTCTCATCCACAGTCTGATGACATTTATCTAAAATTAGCCCAGTTTACAAAACTTTTGGAGATAAAAGGAGGCTATAGAGCTCAAACTAAGTTTGTGTTTCACAATGTTAGTGAAGAAGAGAAAACGCAGATGCTATATGGACATAGTGAGAGATTGGCACTTGGTTATGGTCTGCTTGTTACTCCAAAGGGTACTTCTATTCGAATCACAAAGAACCTTAGAATTTGTGATGATTGTCATACATTCTTTAAGATAGCATCAGAAGTCTCCCAACGGACCCTTGTTGTAAGGGATGCCAACAGGTTCCATCATTTCCAAAGAGGGCTCTGTTCGTGTGGGGATTTCTGGTGACTGAATACCTTGATTATTTTATGTAAATAGATACAGCACACATCTCTCATCTCTGGTTCCTTCCTGTTGGAGGCAGTCGCCAAAATTTATCTTTCGAGATTTTGCCAGCTTCTTTATAGTGTCTTAATCAAAGACATAAGAACCTAGATAAACAATAGAGATGAGAAAACGGGTCACTTCAGTCCATTTAGGCTTGTCCCTCATCAGTTTACCAAAAATGGGTTGGATTGTGTTGGTCGCAAAACAAAAATGAGCTGAACATTCTGACTCTTTATGCTTAAGAATGGGTCGGCGGGTCATTTGTCAAAAAAATTCTTTAAAAAAAGAAAAAAATAATATTTATTTTAAGTATTTCTTTTAATATATTATTTTTTCAATATCTAAAATATCTACATAAATTAATGTATCTAAATAATAAAATAAATTTTAAATTTGTAATATAATAAAATAAATATGTCATTATAATAATAGTAGTTCTTACAATAGATTTGTTACATAAAAAAATCTCAACTTACATATAGTAAAATAAATCTAATTATTTAAACTTAACATTAAAAATAATAAAAAAATATATAAAAAAGTTAAGATATCTAACCCAGCTCACCATTTTTTTATAGGGTAACGAGTTGAGACTTATTTTACCATTCTTTATAAACATGGTCTGAGATTATTTGGTAGTTAGTAATTACTACTTAGCAAGAATCTTCATAGATGTTTAAATAAAAATTATATTTTCACGAAATTGGTTGTTGATGCACATCTATTTTTATGTTGAATCACATTTTTCTATGTCAATTATTATTGTTTCAAATGTAAAGGGGAATTGTAAAAATTGTTTGTAATGATCCACACATATTCTATTTTATTTATAATGAATTACAATCAAGGAAATCAGGAAAGCAAATTAAAAAAAAATCCATAATCTATAATTTTAAACTTTACATATAAAATATCTTTAAGACTCCACCTCAAACCGGAACATATATCATATGAACTAAGTTGTTACAAATACTTCACTATTATATATTTTGTTTGGATTAGTAATTTTAAATGAATGTTTAAATTCCCTTATTTTTAGGGAACATTTTAATAAACTAATTTTAGTTGTTTGATGAGATGTTGCTTTTTTTTTTTCCCTGTTGCACCGGTTTCAAAAGTAGATTCTGGTCCTAATTTGGTTAATTTATTCATTATCATTAAATTTTACCTTTTCTAAAAAATGTTTACACTTCACTGTATTCTTGAACTCATGTTACGTAAGTAATTTCCATCCATTTTAAATGGGTTACATCATTTATAAGTAACTCACATTATATTTTTACAATTTTTGCTCTAATGAAATTATTTATAAACACCTCCACTTTTTGTCAACTCATATTACACTTTTTGACGACTCACACTATATTTTTTTGATAAATTAAAAAAAAATTATGGATAATAAAAATAAGTGTTACTTATTAACACACGTATCAATTATTATTAATTTATTTATAAAGGCATTTTCATATTTAATAAAATCTAATAATCATTCTCTCAAAAATAATTTTATGCATAATTTAAACTTTTATGCCCTTTAATATTAAATAGTTAATTTTAGCAATCTTCACATTAATCTGTGGCCAGGCTTTATGACAGTTTGAAAAAAGTTATTAAGCCTTGAACGAGTTAAAACATTTTAAAAGTGTGGGGACGATAGCCATCAGTTCGAGGTTTCTGTTTGTGAGCCTCCGTGCACGTTTCAGCTTGGAGGGTTCATGAACCGGATTGCTTTCGAATGAGCATTGAAAGCAGCAAGAAATATGAGCTTGAGGCTTTAAGACCCTAGCATAACTAGGCTAAGGACCTCTCGAAGAGTAAAAGGGTGCATCTAGTGCTATGATTATCTATACTATACTGTACTTTGGAGTGGTTCCCTAATAAACCTTCACAATTTACCTATATCATAATTATTGTTTTGCAGATGATTATATGAAACTAGACACTTCCTTACTACATTTCTAAATCCTGCCAACCTCTCGTACTTGCATGATTTGAAACTATTCCCTTCATCATCTATTAGTTAGTTAACCTGAATTCTAACTATATATTCATCTGAATTATTTTGTAATAACAATTCCTCAATTATTTGGAAATGAATTTCCAACGTAGAGTTGTACAATACTTGTAGTATTACTACACAACTAACGATGAACTTCATGTCATTTTTTTTAAATTATTATTACTTGAAAGAGTTTACGTTAATTGCCAAGTAAAAATATGTTTTGGGAGTTTTATTAAAAAGTAGCTTCATTCTTATATATAAAAAACAAATACTCAATACATTATGATGAATAAAAGTAATTGAACTAGTTAATTATAATTAATATTACAATTTAAAATTTTATTCAAAAAATACTTGTAGAATTAAATAGTCTTAGTGATGATTATATTTAATAATGCTATTTATAATTTATAATTTTATTGCAAAAATACTCATAAAAGGTTTTACAAAATTTTACTTTGAAGTGGAAAAGTTGCTAAAATTCATAAAACTTATCAAAAGAGTTAAGCAATTCTTAACCTAAAAATGTTTGCCATTAGATAATTGTATCTTTTTTATAGCTGAAAGTATTTTATTTTACTCATCATATAAATTACATTTTCATATATATTATATTTTTGTTTTCTTTTAATTTCTACTATCTATTGATTATAAGAATTAAAATGTAAAATTTAAAATTGTACCAACTAAAAAAAAAGTGTAAAGATTGAAAATGAAATATATTTAACTATATAAATAAAACGATAAAGTTTATGAAATTATAAAAAAGACCGAGGGTCCTAAATAAACTAATAAAAAAATAAATATTTAAATAGTAAATATAATATAAACATGCAAATAATTCCAAAAATCATTTTGTATTACTAAACCCAAATTACCCGCTTATATTTTGTTTTTTTTCCCGATTTACCCTGACTCCCCCCTCTTCTCCTTCTGCTATTCTTCCGCCGCACTCGGCAGCGTGACCACCGCGAGCGAAGCCCTAAACCCTAAACTTGGAACCACGCATGATTCTCACTGCATTGCCATGGAACTCTCAGAAGAATGGAAGTCCTTCTTCCCAATAGCCGCATCCACCGTATCCCCTCTTCTTCAATCCCATTCCCATTCTCTCCCTCTCGGACCCCTTCTCTTTAACCCTAACCCTAACCCTCTCTCTCTTCTATTCTCTTCTCTCCTCCCCTCTCTCCATCTCCCTCCCCACCTCTTGCCCTCTCGCTTCCTCCTCACCTCTTCCCTTCTCCCCTCCACCGCCTCCTCCATCGCATCCCTCTTCTCTCCCCACCAAAACGACGCCGCTCCCCCCTTCCTCCGCAACCGCATCCACCTCCTCAGTTACCCCCACAGCCCAAACGTCCTCGTTTTCTTCCCCACTGGCCCCAACGACGACAAAATCGCCTTTTTCCTCCTCACCGTTAAGGACGCGCGTTTGCATGTCCAGCTTGACGCAAACGGCGACGTTTTTCGCGCTTCTACCGGCTCCGCGCATCGTATTTTGAGTATTTCGGTTAACCCCGTTGCTGATTTTGGTCTCACGGATTCTCATGTCATTGGGTATTTGTTGGCTTCTACTCTCTATTCCGTTCACTGGTTCGCTGTGAGGCACAACTCCGTTTTGGAGAGGCCTAGTGTGTTTTATTTGGGGGGTAAGATGTTCAAGACTTGCCCCGTCGCGCATGCTTGTTGGAGTCCTCACATATTGGAAGAGAGTCTCGTGTTGCTGGAGAATGGCCAGTTGTTTTTGTTTGATTTGGAGTCTCATGCCTCGGGTGGTTGTTTCAAGGGGAATAGGTTGAGGGTACCATGGAATGATTTGGGTTTTTCTGAAAACAACAAGGTGTGGTTGAGCTGTGAGTTTAGTTGGCACCCCAGGATTTTGGTCGTTGCGCGGTCGGATGCTGTTTTCTTGGTTGATTTGAGGGTGAAGGAGTGTAATGTGAGTTGTCTAATGAAGATTGAGACGCTGCGAATGTATGCTCCGGATGAGAATGAGCGGTTTCTTGCGTTGTCAAGGGCTGGTCCTGATAGCTTTTACTTTGCTGTGGCTTCTACCAGTCTTTTGCTTCTCTGTGATGTGAGGAAGCCTTTGGTGCCTGTGTTGCAGTGGATGCATGGTATTGAAGGACCATGCTTCATGTCTGTGTTTAGCTTGTCTATGTTGAGGTCCCACTCTAGGGAAGACGCGTTTAAGTTGGCTTCTGAATCTGGGTTTTGCATTATGTTGGGGTCATTTTGGAATTGCGAGTTCAATATCTTTTGCTACGGGTCTATAAAGCCGTTTCGTAAAGGTTCTATTACTTCGAAGATTAACTCTGCCATCTGTGCTTGGGAGCTTCCATTTGAGATTAATTTATCTGGTCACGAATGTCATTGTGGAAGTTGTCTCTTAAGGAAAGAGTTTACTAAGGATGCTCTTCCGGAGTGGATTGATTGGCAGCTAAAGAAAGAGATTGTTTTGGGATTTGGGGTTTTAAGCAACGACCTTGCTGCATTACTGTGTGAACCGGATGAAAATGGTGGTTTTACGCTGATAAGGCTAATGTCTTCGGGAAGGTTTGAATTGCAGAGATACCATGCCTCTTGGGCGCAGGCTAAAAACTTGGAAGATTGCCATGATCAAGTATTTTGTTTGGACAGACACTTGCTGCAACAGGCTAGTGATGAGAAATACAAATTTCCGAAAATTTTTCACTACCTAAAATTGGATCACCTTTATGCATATGCACGTGGTAATCTTACGCGATTCCTAGCTACAAAACTAAAAAAGAACTATGTGGACTCTCAGGACAAGGAATCATTTTGTGCAGAAGTGCATGAGTTATTGTGTGAGAAATTGAATGCTTGTGGACTTGGTCAATCAAGATCATGTCCAGCAGTTACTTCTGTTTTTAATGATGTCAAGCTACCAGCAAGCTTACACGAGGTTGCTTTGAGAAGATTGTGGACTGACTTACCTATGGAACTATTACAGTTGGCGTTTTTTAGATTTGCTGAATGTCATGAAGTTGTTGGAGACCTGGACCAAAATAAGGTAGCTTTGGAATTTTTAGCTGTTCCAAACCTCCCTCAATTACCTCCATTCTTTTTAAGGAAATCATCACCCCACAGCAATGATGACATTGTGGGTCCAGTTATTCCTTTTCCTGTTCTGCTCGTGCTTAATGAATTTCGCAATGGGTACTCAAATTTGGAAGGAGGTGAATTTTCAGTAGAAACAGAACTTGGCCTCAAGTACAAAGAAATTATGCAGGTGGCTGGTGAGATTGCAGTTTCAGCGTCTGGCCCTACACATCTTGATGATCATGCAGTCTCCCTTGCTGAGGATGGAGAGGAGACCTGGCTTGGTTCTTCGAAACCAAAATCTTTTTTGTTATACCATCCAGTTGCATTAAACTCATCTGCCACTGACCTTGTTCATGGGAAGTCTGTTTATAGTGATACAATTTATGATACATTCATTTTTCATGTTCCAGAGAAGAAGTCCAATGAGCAGACTGAATCTGTTGGACAAGAGATATTTGATGATCTTTCCCCTGTTGAGTTGAGGTTTGATGCTCCTGTGAAGAAGCTTGAACCTCAAGGTTTAAAGGCATACAATCTATTGAAGAGACAGATGTCTAAATGGCAAGAAAATTTTGATTCATATAAGGAATTTTGTGTTCAATCTAGATTTGAAAAAAGAAGTTAGCTGGTGATCTCTCCCTTAGTCATCCTCTTCCCCGTAGAAGATAGGTATGCAAGAAGCAAATGGGCCTTCCCGTCCTCTACTATACTGCTCTTGGTTGATCCTCGGGGACAGATTTGAACGGTGTAAATTTTTTGTAAGGAAGCAAATTTATGATAAGCCTTCTCCAAGTAAAAGTGCAGTACTGGATGGTAAGATCACATGAGATGGCATTCACTGTGGCTGCTGTAATAAAATCGTAACGATTTCAGACTTTGAAGTTCATGCAGGAAGCATACTTGCTTTTTCCCCTTCCCTGAGATAACAAATTAACAATGTCTTCTCAGCTTCGCAATCCTTTGCTCTGTCCCCTACCAGGTCCCTTATATTTCTATCATTTTAATTTTTCTTTTTCAAGTTTGTTTCATTATTTTCTTTTTTAGGTTTATGCAAACACTTAGTTCTGTGGTTTAAGTTTGAGCAAATGGCTTTGATTCGAGTATTGCATTGGCTTTGAGCAATGGCTTTTATGCTAACACTTAGTTTGTTTGGGCATATTTTCTTATCTGCTTATATAGTGTTATTTGTAGCTGTCAAAACTGTCATATTTATTGATTGGAAGATTTAAGACTAGCAAATTGTTTAAAATTGTGAAAACACATCAGTTCTTAATTTCACACATCCATTCATTGGTGAACATGTAAGCTGATGTCTGGTTTTGTTGCCACATGGAAGCATAGATATATTTCAGAACATGTCTCACCTTTGGTTTCTGATTTGTCTGATAATAATTATTAATTATACTGTATATTAAATTCCTTTTATTTAATTCATTTTATTTCAAGTACTTGTGTGTTTCATAATTGTCGACAACTAATTTTAGTGGATTGCTTTTTATGATGTCATTTTTTGTTATTATGTTAGATGGGATTATGACCTTTTATATCTTTAAATCAGGGACAAAAATGAACTGAAATTGGACTTCAAGAGATTCTGGGAAACGTTTTTATCATCCAGCTCTGAGAAGGTTCTTTTCATTGCTTAGTTTCTTTGATGGTTTCATGCAGATTCAACATGCTTCAGATGTGTCGGTGCTTCATAGGTTATAACTGCTGGAATATCTGACAATGTTGTTAATATAATTATATTATCACAAACTTTCTTTGATTAAGTAGACACCCATTTCTCAAGTGGAGGTGCTGTAGCCTTTCCCTGATTGAAATGAATACAATTTTTTTTATCTTTTGTAGATCACAGAAACCTGTATTCTCTTGCCAATACTGATGATGGAGATGGAGGAGACCTGATATGTTGTGATGGATGCTCATCAACATTCCATCAAGGCTGCTTGGATATTAGAGTCCCTGTGGCTGTGGCAAATGATGCATTGCCAATACTGATATTCCAGGGATGTCTTCTTTTGTGGAAACAGATGTCAAGAGGTATGATCTGTGTATTCATGTTCTTGAATATTGATGGCTTCTTATAACTGGATGATGCTTAATTATTTGGTATAGTAAATTGAATTGTGATAAGCTTTTGAGTTGCAATTGTGGTTTGTGTTTTAATCACTTGTTGCTTCCTGGTTCATGATATTTATCGCCATATCTGTGGAACATTTTCTTGTCATTGTTGTTAAACTATGTCCAAGATTGTTTCTATGGAATCCATGACCTTTTCAATGCTCATGTTTAATACTTGTATGTGTCTGTCTTATATGAAAATTTCTCATGCACACAGTGATAACTTGTAATCTTTCAGAATTTTTTTTTTGACAGTTATTACATTTACATTTAGCAAAAAAACCGTAGAGTCCTAGTCATGTATCTAAAACACTAATTATTGTACCAGGATGGATGGGTATTATTCTTGCTATCCATTTCATTGAAAACTTGAACTTGACTTCTGCACAATACGATTCATTGCAGCTTTCAATGCGGAATCAAATAGCAAATAATTGCGATGGAACGTGCTCCACTGTATCTGATTTGGTCAAATATATATTGAGGTTCCTCCTTCTAATGCATCCCAGATAAATAATGAAATCATATCTATTGAATCTGATTGTCAATTGTCATCTTCCTGAGGGTTCATTGAATAATGTGCCTGACATTGCTAGTAACAGAATTCTTCAAAAGATGACACATGTCAGGTTGTATGTCAGGCGGTTCATGAAAATTTGGTAATGGAAGGCAACAACAGTATTTACAATGCCTGTGATTATGTGACTGATACTTGTTACTTGGGTTCCTTTTGAAGAGAGGAAGTGTCTCACGTCTTGTATTAGCACTGAGGCTACAGAAGGACTAGGCCTTGCCAATTAGCATATAAGTCCAAGTTTTGAGGTGGGCCTTGCCACAGAGGTGACCCATTCTGTGTACGCTGGATTCACAACTTGAATATTTAGGAATTGAGGAGGCATTAACACATTTACAAGACCCCCTTCAACTTTGGTGTGATTTGATGTGCATAGAATGGCAAGGACATGATTTTGTAGTTAGGATAAGGTTGGGTTATCGGGTTCAATTTCTGAGTTTTACCAAGTTCCAGATCGTTCAGCTCTGATACTATAATAGTAAAGAGAGAATAAAAGTGTTTATTGTTCTATAGTGTGGTCAACTTACTTTTATTCAGGATGTATGTATCTTTAATGGTGCAACCACGTTTGATGGACCTAGAATGTCACACGGAATTTAAGACTTAAAAGTTTCATTTATTTTTCATAAAAATTGTCGGAAAAACAAAAAAAAAAATATATTAACGGATCACAAAATGCAATCTCCTTGTTTTTATTTATTCAGTTTTTGTGAAAATATGGGCCGTAGTCCAAAGATAAAAAAAAAAAAGAAAACAGACGTGGAAACCAATGTTTTGAAAAGGTTCAATACCATCACGGACTAGGAGACTAGTACGATCCCCAAGGCCAAGAGGGTCAATCCATTACAGATTGTGATCTTATATTGGCTTATGATATGTGTATATATATATATATATTTTTTTTTTTAATTTTATACTTCTTAACTTTTAATTTTTTTTTTCACATACCTTTCTTTTCCCTTTTAATTTTTACATATATTATTTATTTTTATTTTTTCTCAGTTCCTTATTTATTCAAGTCGATAATTTTAGTTATCTTGATTTTTGTATTATTTTCTTCTCGTCATCTTTTTTATTTTTTTTTACATGCATTCGAATTGCAGAACTGATATGCAACATTACAGGTATGTGCAACTTCTTTAACAGTTTCTATTGGGTTAAGCACATTTTTTTCTTTCAACATTTTTTCCTCTTTCACATCTTCAAAAACAATAAATTTAGTGTCATGGAAAAAATATTCTAAAACATGAATTTCACTATTTTTAAGTACTTTTCGAGGTAGTAAAATTAGTGTTCCAAAAAGTATTTTCTAGAACAATATTTTTTATATACTTTCAAAAAGTACTTCTTAGAACAGTAAATTTATTGTTCTGAAAAGTATTTTTTGGGAGTATATAAAATAACACACTTCCAGAAAAGTACTTTCTGAAATACCAAATTTATTGTTTTGGAAAGAATTTTCTGGAATACTAAATTTATTATTTTAGAAAGAATTTTTGGAATACTAAATTTATTATTCTAGAAAAAAAAATTTCAAAATTATGTAAAATAACACACTTTTGAAAAGTATTTTTTAGAATACTAAAATTAATATTTTGAAAAGTACTTTTTGGAACGGTAAATTTAGTGTCTAGAAAGTACTTTTTAGAAGTATGTTAAAAATACAATTATGAGAAATGCTTTCATTAACATTAATTTTACTATTTTGAAAAATATTTTCTAAAAATAAAATTATTTGATGTTGTGTTTTCTAAACATGTAAATGAGGGAAGTACTTGAAGCAAAAATACACATTTGCCTCGACACTTTCGATACTATCGAAGAAGTCACACATACCTGTAACTATTAAAAACTTGTTTTATGTCATGCATGCACATGAAAAGTAAAAGAAGGGGGGTGGGGGAAGATAATGTAAAAATTGAAAAAGAAAGAAAGAAAATAATGTATAATCAAAAGAATTAAAAATACCTATTAAAATAGGTGAAGAGTGAGAGAAAGATAAAAAATGCATGTAAAAATTGAAAAAAGAAGAAAATGAGTTATGTGAAAAAGAAGAAAAAAGTGTTAAATTAAATATTAGAGTATATAATTAAAAAATTAAAAAAATGGAAATATTTTAAAATTTTACTTTTTTTTAAAAAGGAAGTATACTTAAAAAAAAAAAAAAGGTGTATATATATGAGTCTTTTATTTTTTTTTAATTTTTATTTTATAAGCGGTTGTTTGGGACCCATCTTTGTTACGCATGTTATGAGTGACATGAACTAACCATCCCTCGGCAGCAGAACCTTATAGTTTCCATTAATAATATGAAAAATGCAACGGATAATCATTTTATATATTTGAAAACAAATTTTGTAGTCATATTTAATATTTATTGCACTTAGGAAAGAAAAATGATAGATCTTCCGAAAAAGATTCCGAAAAAATAAAATATTAATTTAAATTATAAAATATTGAATTAAATAATTATTTTATAATAAGTTTATTATAAAATAATAATATTTTAACCTTTTAAAAGATGATTCGAACTTTTTTATTTTGGGAGGATGAAGCAGTGCTCCTTTCGCAATTGTGTTTGTAGTGTGAAGAATGCATGGCATCATGTGAGTTGAAGCTGTAACACTAATGAAGCTGAATATATATAATATTAATTGGATTGTCCATATCTTACAGGTCTATGAAGCTATAAGCAGAGGTTCATCAGACTTCACAGAACTTAGCTGTCCCTTTAAAACGCATGCATTGCCCCTCTCCAATTCGCGCAACGATTCATATCTCAATTCCTACAACTCTGTATTAACTAGTTTAGGGTTTAGGGTAATTTTGAAATTTTTAATGAAATGTAATCAATAAAAAATGTGTTTGAAGAATGACAAAATAAATGTATTACGTGTATGTTTAATATCTTATTAATTTTTGTCTATTTTATTTGAAATGACTTTTTTTTAATCTTTTTATATCTATAAATTACCTTATTCAAATTTTGCTGTTATAATTGTAATTTTGATATATAATAAAATATCATTTTATTTTAAAAGATGTGGAAAGGTATGAAGTGAGTAGAGTATGAAAATGTATAGCAGAATTTATGGGAGAAGGATCGAAATGAACGGTGGAGTAGCACTGTGATGATCGTACTAAAGTGAAAGGGATTGTGGAGACTGCAAAACGACATTGAATTGAAGTGAATTGACAACTGAGCTTCATCACTCTACACTTGTGCAATAATCAGCGGAAAGAGAACAAAAAGGTCGTATTATTATTAGGCATAGTACAGTACATCCAAAATTTGCATAGAAATTCTAAACCCTCCCTCTTCTTTTGTTACAAAAAAAAACCCAATAATTCTAGTGTTGGGGCTCTGCCTTTAATTTTGTCTCCAACCACAACCAGCAACAGTGTCATTTAATGCATCTTCTCTTCTCATATACCATTGTATGCATTATTCATAATTAATAATTGTGACTGGCCATCCCATGCATACCCTCTTCCTCATGCCACACACTGGTTACATTTTTTATTTTTTCATAAAATATTATAAAATTGTTTAAACATTAATTAAATATTTTGTAAAGCCTGTGAGAGAGTCAGGATCCCTCCACTGGCATGCCGCCCTAGTAGCTAAGTAGGTTTGCTTATATTCTTTTATATATTTTTTCTGACCCCAATAGCTCATCATGCATGTTCCCCTTCTTAGCTGTGCACTGCTCTTCAATTTTCCTTTCCTCATTCCACTGTGCATGTTTTCGTACTCTCTGTAATTCACTGTTGCACAAGGTGGGTTATGTTTCTCATTTTATTACATTTTTCATTTCTTCTATATATATTCTACCACACCACCGGGTTGTTTTCAATATTCTTGCGTTACTACTTCCCTTGTTTGGCTTTTTCCTTTCTATTCATCTCATTGCTTTGTGCCTTGCAAGTTTGGCATGAAACCAAACCTGAGATGTCCCCTTGTACTTTCAGCTTCTCAGAGTGTAAAATCTGAAGCATGTTCAAAGTGTTTGTGTGGAGGGTGAAAAAGATCACAAAGGAAAAAGTGAAGCTGCCAGCATGATCTAGCTTTGGTTAGTGGGAGGCAGAAAATGCTAATTAACCCTGACTAGGTCATGCTGTGCTAGCCTCACTCCTTCCTCTTTGGAGACCAATACAAAACATTCTTAACTCTCAAACCTTAACAATCAAAAACCAAAAGGTGAGTACTACTGTTTAGCACTTATTTACTCTTGGTATATATGTATAGTATATTCTTTCTGCGTTTCTGTTATGCCACCTTTTTCTTTTCACACTTGCTTCTTTATGGAACTCTTTGGATGGTAACTTGCCTAGGGTTCCAACCAACAAATTAATGAAAACAAGACTTAAAGCTGAGATTTGTACATTCATGGAATATCTGCTTCTGTTGGGGCATCGAAATATATATTTTTTTTCATAACGGTTTTGATTTAAAATGTTTTTAATTAAAATTTATTCTAAATTATTATTTTTTAATTTTTTTTTGATAAGCATATTATTTTTTAATTACTTAGCTATTTGACAATGATTTGGAATTTAGATTACTACAAGTTTAGATTTCCATTAATAATTTTTATGGGCACTTGTACTTTAATGCAATGTTACTACTTTCAAGATCATATACTTTATAACACGCGTAATAGATGCAAGTTTAGATTTTCTTTAATAATGTAATGATACGGTTTAATAGTGGAAGAGTTGGTTAGCATGCAGATAATTGTACATCCAAATCTATCGCATCATTCTTTTGTTAGATTAGGAACTAGGAAGTTTGTTTAGACGATTTTTTTAAAAATACTTTTTGAAAAAGAAAATAAGAAAAAAATAGTTTTTCACAAGTTAAGCTTAATTTAAATATGAATTAAAAATATATATTTGAAAAACTAATCAGAGTGAGTTTTTAAAATTAGTTTTATATGCATAAATTAAATTTAACTTTAGGAGTTTATTTTTGTATATTTTTTAAAAGTGATTATTGTATTTATTATCTATGAAAATGTGGATTCAACCATTTTACATGCACTTGTTATCACAATAAATAAGAAGTTTGATATTCATATATTTTATTTGGTTCCTTGGTAACTTAACATCAAATATAGGTTACATTTTTAACATTCTTTTCATAGAATACAAGTTTAATTAATTAAATAATTGTATGGTTTATATTTTTTAATAATTTTTTTTATCAAATATTGAAAGTATATTTTTACTATTTTTGAAATTCAACATATCATCAATTGTTGACATATATAATTGATATTCTTATTAATTGAATCAATTATGCACAGCTTTATATAATTTTAAAATTATTTAGTAGTTAAATATTTTATTTTATTTTAATGTATATTATGATATTCAAAATATATAAGATAATGCATTTAGAAAAATATATGCCATAAAATATCACATATGATTAAATTGATTAAATTTATATTATTCAAAAATGATTATTAAAAATATAATTTTATTAATTTTGACATCGGTGTCAACATATGTAAGATGACCCTTTAGAAATTTACATATTAAAATTTGTTTTGGAATTTGACTAAAACTAAATATGGTTCATTCAATTAAGCGTAATATTTATT